CTCAGCATTCAAGCAGAGTGATCAAACTTGGTTCTCCTGGGGGCATTCTTCCAAGGACATCTGGGCTGCCGCTGGAGGTGAGTGACATATGGATCTTCTTTCTTGTGTGGCTGCCAGTGGCTCCCAGCACTGCCATCGTGGCCTTCAAAGCCTTTGTTTTGGCTCTGGCTTTGGCAGGGGGGTGGGGGAGTGGCGACAGGAGCTTCCTTTCTCCTGGCACCATGTTGGTGAAAAGGCTGGATCTAGATTTTATATTCACCCTAACTCCCTCTGTTCTCTCTAAATAATTTTTATTAATTTGAAAGGCAGACAGAGACAGACAGTTCTTCCGTGTGCTGGTTCACTCCCCCAAATGCCCGTAACAGCTAGGGCTGTGCCAGGCTGAACAAAGGAGCCTTCCACGTGGGTGGCAGGAAACCAACTACTTGAGCCATCACTGCTGCCTTACAGGGCATGGGTTAGCAGGAATCTGGATCAAAAGTACAGGGAGGGGGCCAGCACTGTGGCATAGCAGGTAAAGCTACTGCCTGAAGTGTCAGCATTCCCTTTTGGGCACCGGTTCGAGTCCCAGCTGCTCCACTTCCAATCCAGCTCTCTGCTGTGGCCTGGGAAAGCAGTGGAGGATGGCCCAAGTCCTTGGGCCCCTGCACCTGTGTGGGAGGCCTGGAAGAAACTTCTGGTCCTGGCTTCAGATCAATGCAGCTCTGGCGGTTGCAGCCACCTGGGGAGTGAACCAGCCTATGGATGAGCTTTCTCTCTCTCTCTCTCTGCCTCTCTGTAACTCTGCCTTTTAAATAATAAATAAATCTTTAAAAAAAAAGAATAAATGTCATGGCAACAGTTTAAAAAATATCAACAGTAGGCCGGTGCTGTAGTGTAAGCAGGTAAAGCCAGCGCCTGCAGCACCAGCATCCCACATGGGTGCTGGTTCGAGTCCCTGCTGCTCCACTTCCGATCCAGCTTTCTGCTGTGGCCTGGGAAAGCAGTAGAAGATGGCCCAAGTGTTTGGGCCCCTGAACCCGCATGGGAGACCCCGAAGAAGCTCCTGGCTCCTGACTTCAGATCAGCCCCGCTCCAACCATGGCAGCCATTTGGGGAGTGAACCATCAGATGGAAGACCTCTCTCTCCCTCTCTCTGCCTCTCCTTCTCTCTCTGTAACTCTGACTTTCAAATAAATAAATAAAATCTTTTTAAAAAATCAACAGCTTAGAGAGTATATCTTCCAAAAAAAGATCATGTAAAATGAATATTATGAAAAAAACTAAGAATGGATTTCAAACTGTCATGGTACCAAACTAGACATTGTTACTGATTGAACAGGACTTGTCCCCCCAAAGTCATGCAGACATTTAAACCCTAAAGTGTTTTTTTTTAATTTTTATTTAAATACATATAGATTTTAAAGATTTATTTACTTATTAGAAAGGCAGAGTTACTGAGAGAAAGAGAAGAGAGACAGAGAAAGAAATCTTCCATCCTCTGGTTTACTCCCCAAATGGCCACACTGGTCAGGGCTGGGGCAGGTCAAAGCCAGGAGCCAGGAGCCTCCTCTGGGTCTCTCACTTAGATGCAGGGACCCAAGCTCTTGAGCCATCTTCTGCTGCTTTCCCAGGCACACCAGCAGGCAGCCGGATTGGAAATGGAGCAGCTAGACACGAACAAGCACCCATATGGGATGCCAGCACCCGATAGCAGCTTTACCTGCTACACCACAGCACCAGCTTCCTCAAAGTCTCATAATAATGATGGATGCATGAAGGGTGGCGACTTGATCTAATTTTGGTATCTGAGAGATGGGTCTGGTGAACAGTGTTTTTTTTTAAAACAGTAGCTGCTTTTTTACCATGAACACATATTATTTTTTAAAAACTTTAGTGATATAACAACCATGGAAAAGAACTATTTAAAATTTTACAATATAAAAACAGTACCCCCCCAAAAAAAAAGGCCGGCGCCAGGGCTCACTAGGCTAATCCTCCGCCTTGCGGCACCGGCACACGGGGTTCTAGTCCTGGTCAGGGCGCCGGATTCTGTCCCGGTTGCTCCTCTTCCAGGCCAGCTCTCTGCTGTGGCCAGGGAGTGCAGTGGAGGATGGCCCAAGTGCTTGGGCCCTGCACCCCATGGGAGACCAGAAGCACCTGGCTCCTGCCATCAGATCAGTGCGGTGCGCCGGCCGCAGCGCACCAGCCCTGGTGGCCATTGGAGGGTGGACCAACGGCAAAAGGAAGACCTTTCTCTCTGTCTCTCTCTCTCTCACTGTCCACTCTGCCTGTCAAAAAAAAAAAAAAAAGTACCATAACTATAACTAACACAAAAACTATGTACAGCGTTACCAAAGGGAGGAAATAAACCAGAATGCTTATAGCAGCTGCAGCTCCAGCTCCTAGCGTGATAAAGATGCAATAAATATTTGCTGTTCTTGACTAAGTATCAGGATTAGGTTCATGTCCCCGCTGCTCCAGTATTTATACCTCTCCTAATAAAAACAAATTTAAGTATTTAAAAATAAGACCGATTTCACAACCAAAAAAGACAGCAGCTTTAATGTTGTTCACAGAAAGATATCAAATGTCAGCTCGACGATCAATTATGCTTACAAACAGGAAAACCAGGCCATGTGGACTGATGGAATTTGAAATCAACAACAACAAAAAAATGCAGTGATTTTTCAATGTAGAACGACAAGGCTTGTCTGTAACACTTCAATGTTTTTGATGACTCTGAACTTTGTAAAAGTTGGGGAGTTCACCGTTTCTTCGCCTTTGCCTTGTGAGTTGTATGCATGAGATCTTGGCAAGTTTGAATTTCCTGTGCAATATGGAACAGGTTCTCCTCTCATTCAGTCTGCTGAGTCAGGCAGCTGTGTTGCTCCTGCCTCTCTCTAGCTATCCGCTTGCGGCGAGTGTGATGGGTAACTGCTTTCACTTTTTCCTTCTGCAAGGTCTCTACCTGGGTCTATTGAAGACTCTGCCAACTGGTTCCAGGATTGTCTACGGGCGAGTCACAACACCGAACTGTCCAGCTTCCTTTTTGGTGGCAAAAGAGCACAGGCTGCTTCTGTTGCTCCCCTGGAAATCCAGCAGATGGAGCTCTGATTTAGTCACTGGATTTTCTTGGCTTCTACAATCTTTTTCATTCTTCTGTATTTGACATCCTGAGTTCTCATCAGCTTTAGCTGTCCTGGAACGACATCGTCCTTAGTCTCCTTAATAACATGAACTCCATCCTGGAGTTTAATCTTTTTTTTTAAATGTGTGTGTGTGTGTGTGTGTGTGTATGTATTGTAAAAGTAGATGGGTCCATCTGCAGTGCTGGCATCCCATTTGGATGTCAGTTCAAGTCCCAGCTGCCCCACTTCCAGTCCAGCTCCCTGCTAATGCACCTGGGAAAGCAATGGAAGATGTCCCAAGTGCTTGGGCCCCTGTACCCATGGGGGAGACCTGGGAGAAGCTCCTGGCTCCTGGCTTCCTATTGGCACAGCTCCAGCTGTTGTGACCATTTCGGGAGTGAACCAGCGGATGGAAGAACTCTTTCCCTCTCTCGCTGTATCTCTTCCTCTCAAATAATAAATAAATCTTAAAAAAAAAAAAAAGGAAGGAAAGAAAGAAGAAAAGAAAGGCAGAGTTACAGAGAGAGAGAGAGAGAGAGAGAGAGAGAGCGAGCTCTTCCATCCACCTGTACACTCCTCCCCAGATGGCTGCAATGGCCAGAGCTGAGCTGGTGTGAAGCCAAGAGCTGGGAGCTTCTTCCCAGTCTCCCACGCAGTTGCAGGGGCCCAAGCACTTGGGTCATCTACTGCTTTCCAAAACCATAGCAGAGAGCTGGATCAGAAGAGGAGCAGCCAGGACACAAACCAGAGCCCATGATATGCTGGTGCCAGAGATGGAAGCTTAGCCAGCTACAGCACAGTGCCAGCCCCAAGATTAAAAACAACAACAACAAGGGAGTGTTACGGGCAAAATTATGCCAATAAATTTAACAAGTTAGATGAAATGGACAAATTATTTGCAGAACACAATCTATTAAAAGTAAGCAAAGGGGCAAAGGGGCCAGCATTGTGGCATACTGGGGTAAAGTCACTGCCTGCCATGCCAGCATCCCATATAGTCGCCGGTTTGAGTCCTGGCTACTCCACTTCTGATCCAGCTCCCTGCTAATGCTCCTGGGAAAGCAGAAGAAGATGAGCCCAGGCACCCCGACGAGAGATCCAGAAACTCCTGGCTCCTGGCTTTGGCCTGGCCCAGCCCTGGCCATTGCGGCCATTTGGGGAGTGAACCAGTAGATGGAAGATCTCTCTGTCTCTGTGTCTCTCCCTCTCTGTAACTCTGCCTTTCAAATTAAAAAAAAAAAAAAAAAAAACTGAGCCAAAATTAAATAAAAGTCTTAATAGCCTTATCTTTACCAAAGAATGTTATTACAAAAATGATCCCTATAACAAACTAGAGGCCACATGATTTCATTATTGAATTTTGTGAAATACTAAATAATATTATTAATCTTGCACAAATGCTTTCAGGAAACAGAGGAAGAAGAAACACAACTTAACCCTTTTTAGGAGGCCAGCACATGCCTTGTACTAAAACTTAAAACAAAAAACTTTATCAGAATATTTAACACCAACTATATTTTATTATACAGTATTGAGAAATTATTAACTTTTTAGGTGCAATAATGGTAATAAAAGACCTTATCTTTTAGAGATACCAAAGATACTTAGTATCTCTTAGACACAAAAGGAAATACTAGTGGCTGGTGCTGTGGTGTAGCAGGTAAAGCCACCTCCTGCAGTGCTGGCATCCCATATGGGTGCTAGTTCGAGTCCTGGCTGCTCCATTTCTGATCCAGCTCTCTGCTATTGCCTGGGAAAGCAGTAGAAGATGGTCCAAGTGCTTGGAACCCTGCACCCGTATGGGAGACCTGGAAGAAGCTTCTGGCTCCTGGCTTTGGATCGGCCCAGCTCCAGCCATTGCAGCCTTCTGGGGAGTAAACCAGTGAATGGAAGACTTTCTCTTTCCCTCTGTAACTCTACCTTTCAAATAAATAAATAAATCTTTAAAAAAAAAAAAAAAGAAAAAAGAAATACCAGAACATTTATAGATGAATTGGTATGATATTTTGATTTTGTTTCAAAATCATCTTGGTTGAGGAGAATAGTTGAGGGAAAACAATAAAACAATTAGCCACGAGTTGATAATTATTGAAGTTGAGATACAGATACATGGGAATTTATTGCACTATTTCCCTCTCCTTTGGTATATGTTTGATATTTTCTACAATACAAAACCAAAGATAGGGGCAGGTGTTATGGCACAGTGGGTTAAACTCCACTTGGGGTACCCACATCTCACAATGGAGTGCCTGGTTTGAGTCCCACCTCTGTTTCCAATCCAGTTTCCTGCTAATGCACCTGGGGCAGTAGATGATGGCTCAAGTACTTGGGTTCCTTCCATTCACGTGGAGACCCAGATAGAGTTCCTGGCTCCTAACTTTGGCCTGGCTGTTGGGGGCATTTTGGGAGTAAACCAGCAAATGAAAGAGTCTCTCTCTCTCTCTCTCCTTCTGCCTTTCAAATATATAAATGAATAAATACAACTTTTTAAAAATGAAAGATAATTGTAAATGAATAAAATACATTAAATATGTAAGACCTACAGATTGATAGCAATTTTAAAGAGAGTAGAACAAAAAGTTTCTTTGGGGAAAAAAAAAAAAAAAAGAGTGGACCAAATCGCCGAACACCATTAGCAGTTGCTAGGACACCAACTTTGAAATTAAGAGAAGAGATTTAGCATTTATCTGACCATTCCTGTATGAACTTTACTTCAAATATTCCTGGAAGATGTGAAAAAGTTTTTCTGTATAGAATTAGAGCCAGTAAATGTAGAAGAAATAGTAGAATTAGCAAATCACCATTTTGAGGCTGGCAAAGGCACAGTGGGTAAAGCCACTACCTGCAACGCCAACATCCCATATGAGTGCTGGTTCGAGTCCCGGCTCCTCCCACTTCCAATCCAGCTCCCTGCTAATGTTCTGGGAAAAGCAGCGGAGGTGGCCCAAAAACTTGGGACCCTGCTACCCAGGTGGGAGACCTGGATGGAGCTCCTAGCTCCTGGCTTTGGCCCAGCCCAGCCCTGGCTGCTGTGGCTATCTGGAGAGTGTACCCGTGGATGGAAGAGTCTCTCTCTCCCTCCGTTTTTGTGACTCTGATTTTCAAATAAACAAATAAGTCTTACCAAAAAAAAAAAAAAAAATCAACATTTTGTAATTCCCAGTGAAAAGACCAATTTGTAAATCATCAATGGGTGGTAAAATAACTTGGTGAAAAGTTGACAGGGAATCTTAGAATGCCTGCCAGCATCAGGGTACCACCATCTGAAAACAAAAGGGGGCAGGACCTGAAGTGGACAGCAGAGGAGAGCTGTCCAACCAAGAATACCTGCACTGTGTGGAATAAGTGAAAAATAAATCTTTATTGTGTTAAATCACTAAAATACAGGGGCAATTCATTATGGAAGTTAGATTTCTGTAAAAGTATAGCATATATCATATATATTATATATAAGCACACAACACATAATTATATATTTTCTCAAATACACATGGACGTCCAAACATATACTGACACATTTGCGTGTATGCCCATGTCAGGGAGAGGAATGAGAACAGGGATCAGGGATCAAAAGACAAAAATAAAACAAGAGGCCTAGCATCAGCTGTGATGGAATTCACCACCCTCTGAGGAACACGGTTTACCTCCTAAGGAATAAAATAAATAAAAGGCTTAAATGGAGGCAACTAACCTATCTCTTGCAGGAAGAGGAGCACAGGACGGTTCTGGAGAACACCAAGTCTGCTGGAACCCTCCCTCCACCAGGCCATCAGGAGAGTCTTACATAGCTCCTACACGGAGACTTTCTCCTGGGTACAGGAGGCATTTGCCATCCTCCAGATAGAGGGGCTGGACCTGCCGCTTCCCCGCTCAGCACCACCCCTCACGTCAGGCTGACGAAGTCTGGATAAAGCACACAGGTCCACCTGTGTGCAGACAGCTGGGTGCGTCCTCCTGTCCTGTGGCAGGCTGAATAGCAGCCCCTCCCCAGAAGATGTCCACCCCCCAGTCCCCAGGACCTGCGACTACGAGGAAAAGGGGACTTTGAAGATGTACTTAAACCACGGATCCTGAGATGGAGGAGCCTGGATTATCCCTGTGAGGGCAACGCAGGGGCAGCACTGGAAATCACAACGTAACTCTGGTGTAGAATCAGAGAGGGGGAGGGAGGCAGAGGGCAGAGAAGGCAGAAGATGCTGTGCTGCTGGCTTTGGAGATGGAGGAAGAAGCCGCGCACTGAGAAATGCAGCAGCCTTTAGAGGCTGGAGAAGGCGAGGAAACAGACTCCGCCCCAGGGCCTGTCAGCCTTGACATCGGCCCAGTGACACCGATTGCAGATCTTGGACTTCTGGAACTGTAAGAAGGAAGTTTGGTTTTTAAGCCATTGAATTTGGGATGAAACAAGTACACTGGCCCTGTGCTCTAGGGGGGTGGGGTCTGCCTCGTGGGGAGGGTTCCTGCTCCAGGTTCACAGTAGGCTCACTTCTTATCCTTCTGACCTTGAGCACATTTCTAAGGAACAACCCAGGTAACAATGTGCTTATATGGATGCTAAGAATTAAGGAGAAGGCTTTACATCACATGGCTTATAAATGATGAACTTTTCTTTTTTCCTTTTACTAAGTCACATGTCCCTGTGGGTTTTCACACATGCATTTTTCCATTCATTGAAGAGGTATAGCTGAACACCCAGTGTGTGCCTGGCACCGCAATGAGCTTCAGTCCACTACAACCCCGAACGCTTCCTACTAAGATGGAATCTGAGCTTCCGGTCAGCCCCGTCCCAGATGCAGGCACCTGTTACACTCGCCCACCCACAGGGTCTCATGTCCCCTGGATGGACCCACCCAGGCCAGCACTGTCCCGAATCCTCCCAGGCACTGTTTTGCAGCCACTACGAGCAGTCTCATCTCTGCTTTGACCCCCCGAGCCCTGACAGAGGCCCCAGCACAAGTGGGTGGCGGCAGGCTCTCCCAGTCATACTTTCAACACCATTTTCATCTCAGCTTCCCATCTCTCTGCCTGTCCTTCCCTTCTCCCCATAACCCAGAGCCTCAACCAGTCAATCCCAAGGCAGGCAGGAGGGCCCAGGGATGTGTGTTCACTGGGGCTCCAGGGCTGCTTTGGTAGTGAACTGGAGTGTAAGGTAATCAGACAGGATGCAGCACCAGGGTAGACCCTCCTGTCCACCTCTCTGGCACCAACACTCTCGGGTGCCTACCCGTTGACCTGTAATTCCCTGACCATGGAACCCCGCCTCTGCAAGCTCCGCTTAGGCTCACGGAGCCCCCTCTTCTCACCTCCAGGTCTGAAATGCAGAGCTCTGCCTCCATGTCTGGAGCTACTTGGTCCTTCCCAGAAAAAAAAAAAAAAAAAAAAAAGAGTTGAGTCTGGGATGGATTTTTATCACACAAGGCCCAGACTAGTCGACCCTCCACCCAGTCCAGGCCCAATTCTCTTACCTCAGAGCCTGCCGCTCTCTCTCTAAAGATGAGGTACCTCTCCTGGGTGGGATGGGGACTCAACCATTCCAGCAGGGAAAATTGCTTTCAGTCCCTTTGGGCTTCAGTGGTGGTAACAGCCCGGCCAAGTGTGGAGCTATGGGCATTCGATCCAGGTTCTCTCCAGACTTACAGTGTATGACACTGCCCAAGTCCATGCCCTCTCTAGGTCTGATTCTCTAATTTCTCTGAGTACTGAGGAGACTGATCTTCTAGAAGGCTGTATTTTTAAATTTGAACTTGGAGGTTCCACCCAGCAACCCTGGCAATGGCATGTCATGACCACAAGGGGGCAGACCACATCTTCGTTTCAGAAGTTTGACACTACCTGAACCAGCGATCCTCCAAAAGGAATAAATACAATGGCTTCCAAGAAGGGCCCCTACCTAAGGGCACACTACCAAATGGCTACAGAATAGGGATTTGGAATAGGAAATTCAAATTCCTCCCCTCAACAGAAGTCAGGAGCCCCAGGCTGGTGAGGAGTGGTGGACAGCAGAGGCTGAGGATGTTTTTCCAACACTTTGAGGGGCTGGGAGGAGGAGAGAGGTCTCAGGGACAGCCACCTACTAAAGGTATTGCTCCAGGAGCCTCGAGGCGGGAGGCGCAAATCAAGACTTGAGGAGTTAGGGTATGCAGACATGGTCACCTTGGCTCCCTGCCCTTCCCCTCCCCAGCACAAAGTGGAAAGCGGAGAAAGAGCAAAGTTACTCCAGAATCTGGGGGAGACTCTACCAACTCAAGAGGGCACTGTGAACAGCCCAAGAGCATAATCTTCCTTCCTTTTTTCCCTCCAATGATCTAATCACAGGGCCCAACATTGGAGCAGTTACCCAGGGTTCAAAGGGTTAATTCCCAAGTGTTCACTCTGACAGGAGTCACAGTCCTTGACCCACTCTCCCCCTATCTAGTCCCTGAGCCCGAGCTTGGTAGCTTTCCTGAGAGCCTTCTTTGGTGTTATTGCTAGAGCCCTGGAACCCAGGCCCAGAGCCAGTCCCCTGCTTCCTCCTACGGTCTAGGAGTCAGGGGCTTGCTCTAAGAGACAAGGGTGAGAAGCCTTTCCCCTGTCCCTCCCCCCTCCATGACAGAGCCCAGGGACCAAAGAGCCTCTGTCTTTCCCTGCCACACCCCCACATTGTGGTCCAGACAAGGAGATTCCTTGTGTACCAACCTCAGGCAGGCATCCTTGTGACAAACGGTGGGAGGCTGGGGATAGGGTGGGGGAAGGGTAGTCATGGGGGGGGTGACACTGCCACCCCGCCCCCACCCAAGATTCTTGTACACCCCCTAGGCTCCCCACAACAATAGGGAGAGGGGGTCAGGACTCATCTCCATATAAAAGGCCTGAAGAGGAAAGAGAAAGGGAGCTGGAAGACAGGAATGGAGCCAGCAGGGAGGCCAGCCAGGAGGGCTGGGGGTGGGGGAGGGACCCCGACAGACTGAGAGCCAAAGGTGAAGGCCTCTGGCAGTTTCTCTCCCAAAAAGCACAGAGACCTGAGCGAGGCATCCAGCAGGTGCAGCCACAGAGGAAGTGAGACCCCTCCCAAGGACAAAATGAGAACTCCGTTTTAAAAATAAGAATCTTCTGAAAAGCAGCACCAACAGTACACAGCGAGGAACCTTCCTGCGACTTCTCCCTCACAAGAAGTAACGGTATGGACAGGAAGTGCTATGGTCCCACTTGACATCAGGGGCTCAAACACTGACCTATCACCAGCCAAGGACTGGTACAGAGGAAAGGCTAGTCCATCCAGGCAGGAAATGACATCACTCAGCAGGTAGGAAAGAGTGGGGCTACCAGCCTAAAGGCTTCTGGGAGGGCCAAGCCATAGAGGGTTGGCCCTGAAAGTCCAGGTTCCTCCTCAATCTTTTGGCCATGAGGCAGGGGCCCAGGCTTCTAGACTGTGGATAAGGTAATTACACCTCTGTCTCTTCATCAGTGGTCTCCTAAATTCCTTAAGCCCTTACCAAGTCAGGGGTAGAGAGGGAAGACACCATCACACCAGAATTCCGGGCCAGGCCTCCAGAGTCAACGTCTCTATAGAAATAGCTCTAGGGACCGAGTAATTGAGAGATGAAGGCAGAGGCTCCCTAGGGACCAGAGGGCTGGTGAGCTAGGTTTCCATAGTGATGTCCATGCAGCCTCTTCCTAGTCCCAGATTGGGGGAGAGTAAATTTTGCGAGAGACCGGGCTGAGGGATAAAAGAGCAACAGGAATACAAAGGAGTGGGAAAGTCATTACAAGAAGGTCACATCATCCTGGCACTGCCCCCAGTACCAGTGGCTCTCAAAGCCCAGCTGAGCGCTCTCCTCCTCTGGGGACTCAGGAGTTCCGCCTTGCAGCCCCTCCCCTGGGGGCTTCCACACTGATCTCAAGCTCCCTAGCCTGCTGGCTGTCAGCTCCGCCTCCGTCCTGGCCCTCTCCCCACTGGGCAGAGCCTTTGCCCAGTTGGTCTCCGGGTGGGGAGCGCCAGGTGGGCCCTGCTCATCCAGCTCGCTGGGGGCCACGGTGTCCAGGAAGCTGCCAATAGAGACGCTATCCAGGCGGTCAGCTGAACTGGGGTCCGGCAGGCTGTCCCAGCTGCCTCGCCTAGAGCGGCCTGGGCTCCCGCCCGTCAGGCTGTATTGGCTGCTGGTGAGGCTGCTGCAATGGCTGGTCAATGTCCCCCGCTCCTCCAACAGCCAGCGCACTGCCTCGATGCCCTCATTCAAGGTCACCAGCTGCTGCAGGATCTTCACGTCCACGGCTCGCAGGTAAGCCTGGAGGGAGTGGGAGAAGGAGTTAGTTCTGGATTTGGGGCCAAGGGGTTCCGCAGCATGTCTAAGAGGCCTACTCCACGAACTGTGCTTCACTTTTTTTTTTTTTTTTTTTTGACAGGCAGAGTGGACAGTGAGAGAGAGAGACAGAGAGAAAGGTCTTCCTTTTGCCGTTGGTTCACCCTCCAATGGCCGCCGCGGCCAGTGCACCGCGCTGATCCGATGGCAGGAGCCAGGAGCCAGGTGCTTTTCCCGGTCTCCCATGGGGTGCAGGGCCCAAGTACCTGGGCCATCCTCCACTGCACTCCCTGGCCACAGCAGAGGGCTGGCCTGGAAGAGGGGCAACTGGGACAGAATCCGGCGCCCCGACCGGGACTAGAACCCGGTGTGCTGGCGCCGCTAGGCGGAGGATTAGCCTAGTGAGCCGCGGCGCCAGCCTGTGCTTCACTTTTAAGAAGCCTTGAGATAGAATGGTTTGGGGCGTGGGTTTCAGAGGCAGCCAAACTGCTGCTTGGAATTCCAGCTGTCAAAATGAATTATGCTGCTGCTCGGGACACCCGCATCCTCTATCAGAGTACATGGTTTCAGTCCTGGCTACTCCTTGCTTCTGATCCAGCTTTCTGCTAATGTACCTGGGAGACAACGGATGATGGCCAAGTACTTGGTTTCTTGACACCCATATGGGATATGTGGGTGGAGTTCTTGGCTCCTGGCTTTGGTCTGAGCTGTGAGCATTTGAGGAATGAACCAGTGGACAGAGGACCTCTTTCTCTGTCATTCTGACTCTGACTTTTAAAACAATAAATCTTAAAAAAAAAAAAAAAAAAAATTAGCTCTCAGGGTGGGTGTTTAGCCTCGTGGTTAAAACACCACTTAAGGGGCCGGTGCTGTGGTGTAGCGGGTAAAGCTGCCGCCTGCACTTCCAATCCAGCTCTCTGCTATGGCCTGGGAAATTAGCAGAAGATGGCCCAAGTTCTTGGGCCCCTGCATCCACGTGGCAGACCCAGATGAAGCTCCAGGCTCCTGGCTTTGGATCAGCTCAGCTCTGGCCATTGCACCAACTGGGGAGTGAACCAACAGATGGAAGACTTCTCTATTTCTCTGCCTCTCTGTAACTCTGCCTTTCAAGCAAATAAATAAATCTTGGGGAAAAAAAAAAAGCACTTAAGATGCCCATGCCCCACATTGGAATGCCTGGGTTCAACACCCAGGTCTGGCTCCTGACTCCAGCTTCCTGCTAATGCAGACCCTGGGAGGCAGTGATGTTTGAGTAGTTGTGTCCCTGCCACTCACATGGGAGACCTAGGTTAAGTTCCCAGTTCCGGGCTGTGGCTGGGCCTTTGCGGGCATGGGGGTAGTGAACCAGCAGACAGGAGCCTGCTTTCACTCATACACATGCTCTCTTAGAAAAAAGTTGTAAAGGTTTTTCAGCTCTGCCACAGATTAGCTATATGACCTGCTTAAAACTGGGGATTCTTTTTTTTTTATCTTTGCACTTCAGTTTCCGTGCTTGTAAAACAGGGCTAAATCACTCTTTTCACAAGTGGCTGTAAGGATTTTGAGATGAGATCTACTAAGGACTCAATACAGTGCCTAACACAAAGAAAAGTCTCAGAACATGTTAAGTATTGGGGCCTTTGGCGTTGTGCAGCAGCAGGTTAAGCTGCTGCCTGCCATTCTGGCATCCCATATGAATGGTGGTTCGAGTCCCGGCTCCTCCGCCTCTGATCCAGCTTCCTGCTAATGCTCCTGGGAAAGCAGCAGAACATGGGAAACCCAGATGGAGTTGCAGGCTCCTGGCTTTGATCTGGCTCAGGCCCAGCCATTATGGCCATTTGGGGAGTGAACCAGTAGATGTAAGATCTCACTCTCTGTCTCTCCCTTTCTCTCTCTGTCACCCTGCCTTTCAGATAAATAAATCTTAAAAAAAAAAAAAAAAAAAAAAAAAAAACTTTAAAAAAAGTTAAGTATTAAAATCCCATCCCACTGAACTCTGATCTTCACGTTTAGGGTATTAACTATCAAACTGGTCCAGATTCGCCAGTAAGATGTCCAAAGGGCCCAAGACTAGTCCAACCTGAGAGTGAACGGGGAAGACGAGGGCTGGGGAACAGAGGGGACTAACCTGCTTCCCTGTGCTCTCCAGGAAATCACTAGCAGGTCCTGGAGGAGGGCAGGCTTGCCCCCCCCACCCCGCCCCCCAGTGGCTGGGGCTCCAGGACCTCCCTCCGCCACGCACAGCCTCCCTGTCTGCCCTGGAAGTGAGTCTGCCTTTGTGGGTCATCCCCGGGGGTCCCTCGCAGCTCAGGGGCACAGGTCTGAACCTGTGCCTCCGCGGCTGCTTGGCAGCATCAGGGGCTTCGCGGCGCTCTGATTCCTAAGTACGGGAGCACCGGGATCCTCGCCCGCTCCGGGAGAGTGAAAGCGGAACACCTCCACAGCTGGCACCCCAACTTCTTCACGACGGTGCCTGCCCTGTGACCCTAAGACCCTGCCGCATTACATCACAGGTGCACATCAAGAGGCGAACGGCTCCACGGGTTTTGTTGTCAACAGTGATAGTTCCTCCACCCCACTTTCTAGAGACTGCTGTTAATTTTCTAGTCGTTGACTGGTTCCTACCTCCTCAGCTCCAAATAGCATGCTTACATCCCTACTTCTTGATTCTTAAGCTTGGGCATTTTCTGTTGATTTCCCACACTACAGAGGTTAAGGGTTTAACTTTCATCCCCTCCTTACTCCACTCCTGTACAGAAATCCTTCCCATCACCCCATCTCCCCCTCCTCCCACCAAGCAATAATAAAATTATTCAGTGTTTGCCTTATTAGGATATTCACAGCTAAGCCTATATAGTTTCCAGAGTGACTTCTAAAATGTCTTAGGATTTTACATTCTCCACAGCACAGCCTTTGTTATTTCAGCTAGTTTGCTATGAGGTTCTCAGTACATCATCCTCAAATGTCCCACCCCTTGTCTGAATTCCCCTCTCAAGCCTCTCAAACACTTCACAGCTCCATCAGGGCCTCTCCTCAGAGGCACGCCTTGTTTCTTAGAGCCCGTATCTTTTTTTTTTTTTTTTTTTTTTTTTTTTTGACAGGCAGAGTGGACAGTGAGAGAGAGAGACAGAGAGAAAGGTCTTCCTTTGCCGTTGGTTCACCCTCCAATGGCCACTGTGGCCGGCGCGCTGCATCCAGCGCACCGCGCTGATCTGATGGCAGGAGCCATGTACTTCTCCTGGTCTCCCATGGGGTGCAGGGCCCAAGTACTTGGGCCATCCTCCACTGCACTCCCTGGCCACAGCAGAGAGCTGGCCTGGAAGAGGGGCAACCGGGACAGAATCCGGTGCCCCGACCGGGACTAGAACCCGGGGTGCCGGAGCCGAAAGCAGAGGATTAGCCTAGTGAGCCGCGGCGCCGACCCCGTATCTTTCTTGATTTGCTCTTTCATGGAGTGAGTGGTGCTCTCCCTCCAATAGCATCCCGAGAAAGTCTGCACAGGAGGTAAATCTGCAGAAGGTTTGCACTTTTTAAAATATTATTCTCGGGGCCGGCACTGTGGTGTAGTGGGTAAAGCCGCTGCCTGCAGTGCTGGCATCCCATATTGGCACTGGTTCGAGTCCTGGCTGCTTCATTTCCGATCTGGCTCTCTGCTATGGCCTGGGAAAGCAGTAGAAGATGGCCCAAAGCCTTGGGCCCCTGCACCCACGTGGGAGATCCGGAAGAAGCTCCTGGCTCCTGGTTTTGGATCAGCACAGCTTCAGCTGGTGCAGCCATTTGGAAGTGAACCAGTGGATGGAAGACCTCTCTCTCTCTCTCTGCCTCTCCTTCTCTCTCTGTGTAACTGTTCAAATAAATAAATAAATCTTAAAGTAGATAGATAATCTCTTCACAGTGTTATTAGTCTGGCTAGATGTAGAAAGTTGCCTCCCTCAGCGTGTAAGGCACTGTTCCATTATCTTCTGATTTTCAGTGTGTAATGCTGTTCTGGTTCCTGATCCTTCCTGTGCGACCCTCTTCCTACTGCTGCTGCAAGTTTCTAGGATCACCTCTCTCGTCCCAGTGTTCTAAATCTCCGCAGAAATCTGCCATGGCGTGTGTGGTGTGTTTTCATCATGGAGATAACTGCTCGATGGACCGTTTCAATCTGGAAATTGGTGTCCTTCAGTTTTGAGAGATCTTTCTCTTAAAGGAAAGTATTAATACATTAGAACCTCAGGATCACAGCAAACGCATGAGAATCACTACAACACAATTCTCGTGTTGTGATATTAATGCAAAGAGAACAGATTCAGTGTAGTTCGTAGATAAAATTCTAAGACTGTGAGGATACTTCCCTTCCTCCCTCCCTCTGGGAGATGTTCTTTAATTATTTCTTTGATAATTATTTATCGCCCAATTTTTCCTGCTCTCTCTGGGAATTTTGCTATTTGGGTAGAGGATGTCTCTAATTGACCCTGTTTTTTTCCCTCTACCATATCTTTCTATATTTACTTCAGTTTCTGAACTATTTCAACATTACCAACTCTTCTTCTGAATTTTTCTCTTTTTAAATCAGGTTTTTATTTCCAAGTATTGTTTTCAGTTCCCTGAGTTTTCCTTTTTTTTTTTTTTTTCATATAGCTTCCTGGTTTTGTTCATTGCTGCGATATCGTCTTTTATCTCTTTAAGGATATGATTAATGCTTTTTGTAAGTATTCATTTCCCTATGTTATCTTCACTGTATTCAAGTAGCACTTTTCTATTTGTTTAAGTCTATATAACCAGCAGGCCAGATATCCCATGATCTTTAACTGCTGTTGACATTTCAGAATGGTCAGTCAAATGACTGAAAACTGGGTGGCAGCACTGTGGCACAGCAGGTTAAACTGCCACTTGCAATGCTGACATCACACACTGGAGTGCTGGTTCAAGTCCCAGCTGCTCCACGTTTCTGACCAGCTCCTTGCTGAGAAGATAGTGGATGATGATCCAAGTGCTTGGGCCCTGCCACCCATGTGGGAAAC